GTTTAACTCGTTGAGTACCGTCATTATAGACACAATTATAGAACAATAGGTTGCGGTCACCGGTGTTCTGGCGGTGTTTGACAGTTTAAGTTGGTCACAAAATCAATGAATGAAAGTGTGATTATTTTTATTGTATTGTATTGAACAGTCGAAATAATTTATTATTGATTAAGAAAAGTACCCAATTATCATCATACCTAGAAGGTGTAATTAAAAGTTAAATCTATTTAATTAAAACTTAATTACACTTTAACCACCTTAGAACAATACATTACCTAAAGCAACTATATACAGTTATATATATTTAATATAAAGTATAGTATATTAAGATATATACTAAAGTAATTAGGGAATACCAACGTATGGCCGTTTCCACCGAACACCCCTAAACAATCACTTAACTAAGAGTTACTTAGCGGGACGTAGCACCTAAAACTAACCCCTTACTTGTACTGTTATGTCACTTATAGGGTTGGTATAAGCTATAATGTTGTTAAATATAACCTATCTTTGCTTAGGAGTCCCATAAAATGGAAAGATCAGTGAAAACGGGTATTAAAAACGTACTATTTCTCAATTTACACACATATATAAAATCACGCCTTTTGATCCACGAAGGGGTAGGCAGAGGTATCGTTTTACCGGCTTATCCAATAAAAAAACGCTTATCGATGTTATTCGGGAGCGCCCCGGTTACACACTGAGGCTTTATTACGAATTTGTTTTACGTACCCGTTGATATCCATCCCCTAAATTTGGTCATACAAAAGTATTCTCTAAACATTAGAAATAAGGTCTATAATGTAATGTAATATTAGTGGAAAGCGGTCACCGGTGACCGCTTGGGGATTTATGGGTTAAAGTATTCGTAACGAGTACGCGTTCGGCGCTCTGATTGGTTGCTTCATTGGCGCCGGCCAATCAGAGCGCCGAACGCGTACTCGTTACGAATACTTTAAACGTAAATGAAACTCGTACTAAGGCCTCTGTATAGTTACCCTCTCGCGTGTTTCTCGTACATACGGGTGTACGAGAGAGTTGAGTGCCCATCGCGCAATAGGCATGACGACTATTTTTTAATTTTTTGTCCGTCTTTTAGATATTTTAAAAATCTTCGATACGTATTTTTTCTTTTTTCTCGTATCCAAAAAAACACGTAGATATTTTGAGTTAAAATGACGCGTGACGTCACAATTAGGTACGATTTCTCCGTAAGTGTGACGTCAACACCCCCCACTCCCTAACTTTAATACGAAATAACTACGTATTCTTCTGTTAATTTGATAAAACAAAAAATACGTGTCTGATATTTTCGTGCGATCTTAATGACGGACTAATTACTTTTTTTATTTTTTTACCCTGTCGACACGCCTATTGTACACACGGGTGTACGAGAGAGTTGAGTGCCCATCGAGCAATTGTTCACACGGGTGTACGAGAGAGTTGAGTGCCCATCGCACAATTGTACACACGGGTCTACGAGAAACGCGAACCGATTGGATATTTTTTCTGTGACGTATATTTTCATGTTTACAACCCGTTCTTTATTTCATTGAACATAATAGTTAATTCGTATTTCTATTAAAATATTTACCTGTGTGTACGAGAGGCGCGCGAGAGGTTAAGGGCGACTTATAATTGAGTGACGTTTCAGTATTTGGATTCCAGCCATCAATTTAAATGATTTATTAAGCATCAAAATTGTATTCTTCAGAAATCAAATCTGTATCAACCTTAGCTTGCATTAAATCGTTAAAACTACCATTATTATCACGGGAAACCTCGTTATTTTCGCCAATTTCAGCGTCTAAAGCTGCCATTAGCTTATCATCTTCGTCAGCGTCAGAATGCTTGACTTTATCGTTACTGACTATAACACTAACGGTGTTAGTCGAATCGTTATTTCCAATACAACGATTTTCGTTAACATCATCCCTGATTTCGTTTTCATCTTTGTCTTGTGTTAAATTCGATTCATTCTCCGTTAATTTCGAATCTAGACTGGAATTATCGGTTTGTGATTGATTTTCATCGTTATTTTGAGAATTATCGACGTTATTTTTATAGTTTTCTTTTTCATTCTCACTTAATATATCATTTTGTGTATAATCGTTCAATAAACTTTCACTGGCTGTGCCAATAGAACTAGAATCCTGACTATTTTCATTGAAGACTTTAATTGAATTAGAATCTCCATCTTTCTCAAAATCATTTTTAGACCCACAATCTTCAACCCTATCTTCATTGGATAAAGAACTATTATCATTCGAAACTCCATTATTTTTACTATCACCTAAATCACTAATTGTATTCGATTCGTTATCTTTGACTCCGTTATCGTTAACACTTATATCATTAATAGTACTGTTATTAACATTATCTATACTATTAACACTAGACAAATTTGAACTTGTAACATTGCACTCGCCACTAAATTCACTTTCCTCATTACTTACAGCTAAACTATCGTTATTATCAACACCATCGTTACTATTAACCACTTCACCGTTACTTTTAACACTATCGTTAAATTCATTATCTCCGTTATCGTTATCATCATCTTGTAGATTATTAATTATATTATTGATATCTTTTGAAACATCATCTTCTTCTGCTAATAAAGAATCAAATAAGTTCTTCTCTGGCTTAACCTTTCTTCTCTTCTTTGGAACTTTACCTAAACATCTTCTGGAGAACAGTGTCTTTAGAGACAGATTCGCTAGAGAATCGATTTTCTTCTCTTTCGGAGAAGGAACAATGAGAGAGCAGGATTCTGCTTCGCTCTCACTCTCAGAGTCCCAGTGTACATAGTCTTCAGCGGCGTAGAATTCGTTTTTGATATCATCTCGTATATCTACCATATGGTCTAGGTACCGTTCCCGTTTGATGCGCAGTCCTGTTAGGTATGGATAGTAGCAGTTCTTGTCGAGGCCATAATCCTGAAAATAATTTTTGATTAATAGAAAAGATTGTTTGTAGCATTTTAGTGATACCTAGCTACTTTCGCGCGGATTTGCCAGCTCTGCTCGACTCCTATTGATCATAACGTGATGTTTCATCCTCGAATCCGAACAATCCTCAAATTCCTATACTCGAAATTTTAATTCGATTCCAGATTTGACAATTTCAGTGTTGCAACGTTATGACAAGTACTAAATAGTGACGTTGCGAAATCATTCGATATGGAAATGCAATATTTCTGGATCGATTCTTCTCGTTTATAATTTTACTCTCGTAAACTAAGGATATCAGGAAATTAAATATTTCTGACCGATAATTTAGTTTTGACGATTACTTAACGATCTGAGACTTTTCTTTTATAATTGTATGTGAAATAACTAAAAAAAATGTAATCATGAAGGAAAATGACAAATAAAACAGATAGATGTATTATGGTAATAAGTTATTTTATAAATTGTCGCCGTCATCGCTATCGCTATCCTGTCACTTTCTGTAACATTTATTATAAAACACACACACTGATTGTTTATCGATTTTTGTGTTCATCACTACACTATTATATGTGGTATCATTATTTCACAAAATGACAGTAGCTATTGTCAAATCTGGAATCTAATTAAAATTCTGACTATAATTCTCAAAAGGCCGGTATCGCACTTATTGTAACGCCTCTGGTGTTCCAGGTGTCCATGGGCGACGCTGATTGCTTACCGTCAAGTGATCCGTCTGGTCGTTACCGGCTTCTCAAATAAAAGAAAAACTATACACATTTCTTATCAATACATCAATACATAGTATAAAACAAAGTCGCTTTCGCTGTATGTCCGTATGTATGCTTAGATCTTTAAAACTACGCAACGGATTTTGATGCGGTTTTTTTTAATAGATAGAGTGATTCTTAAGGAAGGTTTGTATGTATAATACATGCATATTGCACCCGTGCGAAGCCGGGGCGGGTCGCTAGTAAACTATATAAGAAAATGTGTATAGTTTTTCTTAAATAAAGATTTGTTTGTTTGTTTGAACGCGCTAATCTCCGGAAATACTGGACCGATTTAAATAATTCTTCTTGTTTTTATAATAACTATCGTGAGACATATTAAACTAAATAAAAAATCGCGGGTTACTCACGTGAATAGAGACATTGTAGAACATACTTTTTTTAAAAAGAGTAACGAATGGAGTTTCATGCTCGTTCTTCTCCATTCGAATCTATGTTTTGGAATGAGCACCTAGCTTCACCTAATTTCACTGACGGACTGACTGACTAACTATTATTTATTTTGTATTTGTTGACGTTTCAAAAGTACCAAACTGTGGTTTAATTGAAATAAATGCTTTGACTTTGAATATACTAAGAAAAGGTCTATTAGTTTTTCCACATTGCAGTCCGATTAATAGGAGCCGAGCAGAGCGGGTTAACCGGCGCGGGAGTAGCTAGTTCTATTACAAAATCCAAAATTTACTCGAAAAATTCAAATTCTCATTTAGGTAACGTATTACTCAGAATCCTGTTTCTCAGACCTGGAACGACAATTTGTGCGATCACACAATCCGCGCGGGAATCAAACCCAGACATCTCGTTGGAAGATAAACATTATGTAATACTTACATAAGGAACATAGGAGACATCGTAATGTCCGTCTTTAACATTAACGAGTAAGCTGTCACAGCGCGAGATTCGAACCTGCACCGGTCGCAACTGCTTCAGTAACTCCGGATCTACGTTTAGTTCACCTGGAAATAAAACAATTATCATAACAGGACACGTAATACGCTTGTTTGGACATGTAGAAAGGATGGATGAAAGTAGAGTAACGAAAGAAGTATACAGAGCGGATATGAATGGGGCCGTCGGTAGAGGACGCCCTAGACGGACATATACTTACCAGGGTGCTTACTCTTGAAACCAATCTCAATGTCAATGCAATTTCAATCCAATAAAATCTCAATAATTATTCAATATCAACACTATACAACCAGAATCGTAGCTGTTACAATAGCATTCAGAGTACGGAATAATCATATTTATACTCAATACCATTTAGTTCATTCAATATCCACGCAATACGGATGCAATGGGCGCTAGTGTTGCAACTCAAGAGTAAGAAGTTTCACAATACCAATGTCGATCGATCGGAATTGGATTCAAGAGTAAACCCCCAGAACGGAAAATCATTTTTATCTTATATCTTATACTCTTATACTATTATATAAAGCGGAAGAGTTTGTTTTTTTGTTTGTTTGTTTGAACGCGCTAATCTCCGTAACTACAAGTCTGATTTGAATAATTCTTTTTGTGTTGGATAGCGCATTTATCGAGGATGGCTATAGGGTATAAAACATCACGCTACGACCAATAGGAGCTGAGCAGAGCGTGTGAAACTGCGCGGAAGTAGCTAGTTTATACATATAGATGAAAAAGAAAAATAGATGGTGGCTCCGTGTCTTTGCCGTCAAGTGTATTATCCAACAAAGTATTACAAGACCAACCTTTCTTCCTCGCCGTGCATGTAGGTTCATGTTTCTTCAAGTTCCTCAGTAACGCGTAGTTTCTGTTACACTTCGAACATTTGCCTGCGAATAATAATCACATTTTTATGTATTAATACTTTCGCGAAACAAATTAAATAATTATTGTTTTACGACAGTCGCCGCGTCGCGGAATGCTGCTCATGAATATGAGCCTCTAGCATGGCTTGAAACTAATCGAGTTTCTAGTCAAACAGTTACGAGAGTAATCCGAAAACATAGTAATTAAAAATCACATTGTAGTGTGACTATATTTCTATACTAGCTTCTGCCCGCGACTTCGTACGCGCAATCCCATTTCCCCCCGTTCCCGTTCGTGATTTTCGGTAAAAAGTAAAAAAAAAGTATTCTATAAAAAGTATCCTATGTCCGTCTCCTGGTTCTAAGCTACCTCCCTGCCAATTTTCATCTAAATCGATTGAGGCGTTCTTAAGTTATAAATAGTGTAACTAACACGACTTTCTTTTATATATATAGATTGATCATGTGTATTGATTAGCCTTTATATAACTATTTCTGTAATCTGTTGACACAGTTATTACGTATTACCGTACCCTGAGGACATGGTGGAACATACTGTAGCGGAATGCCCTGCGTGGGCTGAGCACCGCCGTGCCCTCAGGGAAGTGATCGGCGATGGCGACCTCTCGCGTCCGGGCCTAGTGCAGGCCATGATGCGGAGCGAGGGGGACTGGGATGCCGTCTCCTCCTTTTGCGAAGCAGTCATGCTAGCTAAGGAGGAGGCGGGACGCGTCCTCGCAACCCAGCCATCGCGAAGGACACACCGGGCGTCGGGGATCGCGAGACGATCTCCGGCCACCGTCAGCACGGGCCGGAGGACATACAGCATGGGGGGCTCGTCGTCCGACCAGAAACAGACTCGAGCGTACGGCGCCCAGCGGTCCGCGCGACACAAAGAGCCATCAGACCACCACGGCTGGGGCCCAATAGGGCTGATGCCGATACGGAGCCGCGGAGAACTTAACGGGTTGCCGGGGCTCCGGCTCGAAGTGCAGAAGTAGGAACGGGGTGGTTTTTAGTACGTAAGAGTCTGACACTCCCTCTCGCCTCACCCGAGCGGGAGGAGTCAATTAATAATTTTCCCTTTCAAAAGACGCATCCGCAAAGACGTCCCGGCCCACGGACTCAGGCAGAGGAGAAACACCGCAATGGTTTTAACCAGTAAGAGTCCATCGTGAGAACTCTATGAAGATTTCCATCGAATTATAATAAAAAAATGATTAGTAGGTATATATCGAGCCTTACCGCCCGGTCTATTGTCCTCGCCCAGACAGCGATGGTCCCGGAACAGTTTGTTGGTGGCGAACAGGTGCCAGCACACGTCGCACTTGACGTCCGGCATCTCGGGGAACGGAATACATTGGTTACTGCTGAAATGTCTGGAATTACAAGATGAAAACATATTTTAATAACATATAACACATTAAAAACACATTTTAATAACATATAACACAATAAAATATTTCAATATTTTAATAGTATATAACATAATAAAAACATAATTTAATCTTATACTACCTCGTTGACCGAGTGGTTTACGTTGCCCCCCCCTCAAGAGGGGGGGTACCCCCCCCCATTAGTATTTTCTCCTGTGTCGTGGGTACATTTACAAACATTTGACTGCACGGTTGGTGCGGTGGCTGGGCAACCGGCTGCCGTGCAACGTGTCGCGGGTTCGATTCCCGCACGGAACAACACTTTGTGTGATCCACAGATTGTTGTTCCGGGTCTGGGTGTCATTGTGTATGTGAACTTGTATGTTTGTAAACGCACCCACGACACAGGAGAAAATCCTAGTGTGGGGCAACGTTTTTAAAAAAAAAAAAGAAATTCACATACACATGACAGACACGGAACAACAATTTATGGATCACTCAAAGAGTTGCTCCGTGCAGGAATCGAATCCACGACAGGTTGCGTGGCAGCCGGTTGCCCAGCCACCGCACTGTGTTGTCAGTAGTAGCACGGAGTCTGGAATTGTGCCCGGTATATGGCAATAGGCTCACCCCCTATTACATGGGACTCATAACATAAATAGTGAAAAGTGGGTGTTACATTGTACAGTGGCGTAATGTGCACCTCTGCCTACCCCTTCGGG